AATTTTCCTAGATTTATACTTTGTACATTCCATGTTCTAATTATTAATGGACTTTTGCAGCTGTTTCTTCTCATTTTGAGTTGTGCCACATTAGCAAATGGATGTTCCAAAATCTCTACTCTTTGTACATCATTAAGGTCGGCTCTACTCTGAGGAGGCAGCTTAAGTAGGGAAAGGTTTAATAACTTGCCAAAAGTACTAAGTAGTAGAGACAGGATGCATACCTTGCAATTGTGAGCTTTTTACCTCATTGCTGTACCAAAAAAAAAAAAAAAAGAAAACAAAACAAAACCTGCTGTCAACTTGAATTCCAACTCAAAATGACCCTATTGGGCAGAATCCAACAGCCCCATAAGGTTTCCAAGGCTGTAATCTTTATGGAAGCAGACTGCCACATCTTTCTGCTGTGAAGCAGCTTGTGGGTCAAGCTGCCAACCTTTCATTTAGCAGCTGCACACTTAACCACTGCCTCTTTAATCTGATCATCCTTTTGGCTAGTCATTGCCACTCAGCCCTGATGGAATTATTAAGACACATCTTCCTTTTTCCTCTAAAGTCTTTTTAAGGTTTTTAATGTTCAGTAGTAAATGATTATATTTTTGTTTTGTTGACCTTTTCACCACCACCTCAAATTACAAGCAGTCTCCAGGTTATGAAGGAGATCAGTTCCTAAGTGTGTCTAAGTTGAATTTCTAGCTAAGTTGGAACAGGTGCAGATGGTTCTTATTTAGTCTTACTTTAGTGGGAGCTCTGGTGGCATAGTGCCTAACGCATTTGACTGCTAACCAGAAGGCTGGTGGTTCAAACCCACCAGCCACTTCTCGGGAAGAAAATTGAACAATCTGCTTTCGTAGAGATACCACCTCGGAAACCCATGGAGGGATCACTACGAGTCGGTAACTACTCAACGGGTAGTGAGTTTTTGAGTTACTGTAAGTCACACTTTAGTCAGACCCACCAGCTGCTCCTGGGAAGAAAGATGAGGCAGTCTACTTCAGTAAAGACTTACAGCCTTGGAAACCTTGGTTTTTTAATACAACAAAAACTCAGATCCTTAAAAAATGTATACCTATACCAGGTAGATATACTTCTTAGAATAATCAACCATAGGAGATCAGAAGCAGGGCAGTATTTGCACAGGAAGATAGATAGAGGGCAGGAATGCATAGGAAAGGAGGAGGACACCATGAGCTGTGCATATGGTCGCTAGGAGTTGGAGCCGACTTAAACGCACCTAACAACAGCAGCATGGCAATCAGAATTGACTTGTTGGCAGTGGTTGGTTTGGTTTTAGTGCAAGAAGGTGCTCTGGTGATACAGTAGTACAGCACTCAGCTGCTAACCAAAAGGTCGGTGGTTTGAACTCACCAATCACTCTGCTGGAGAAAGATGAGGCAGTCTGCTTCCGTAAAGATTTATAGCTGTGGTGGCAGTTTTACTCTGTAGGGTCACTGAGTTGGAATTGACTTGACAGTGGGTTTGGTTTTTCAGTACAACAAAAGCTGGAAGTCTTGAACATTTACACCAGGTAGGTATACTCCTTAGAATAATCAACCATAGGAGATCAGAAGGGCAGTATTTGCACAGGAAGATAGAGCACAGGAATGCATAGGAAAGAAGGACGTGGAAAAGGTAACCACAGGGAGGAAGTGGAAAGGGAGGTGTTACATTATGGGGATTGCAATCAATGTCATGACACAAAATGTGTATGAACTGTTGTATGGAAAATTAATTTGCTCTGTAAACTTTACCCGAATAACACTAGAAAAAAGAAAAGAAAACTAAAAGCTTTTCCCTGATGTAAAAGCTGCACATGAAGCAAGTGAAGGTAATTGTGATGAAGAATTTTTTTCAGTAGGATTGGTTCCCAGGCTGGTTCAGTCTTTTCAAAGTGAGAGCAGATACATGTAACATTAAAGGACAAGAATGTACTGCCTCTAAGTTGGACATTCATAACCCAGGGGATTGCGTGTATAGAGATCAAGAAAGCAGTAAAAGCACTTTTCTAAGAACCAAAAACCAAACCCATTCAACCCAAGTTGAATTCTGGCTCATAGTAACTCTATGGCAGAGTAAAACCCACTCCCAACACACACACAGGGTTTCCAAGGCTGTAAATCTTTGTGGAAGCAGATTGCCTCATTTTTTTCTCCCTTGCAGCAGTTGGTGGGTTCAAACTGCAAATCTTTTGGTTAGCTAACAAGAAGTTAACCACAGTATCCCCAGAATTCCTTTCTGAAAGATTGTATAATTGAAAGGTAGTTCAGATGAAGTAATACTTTGTGTAGAAAAACATGTTTGTTTTTTTAGCTGTATCACCTTTTTAACATTAGATTTATTTTTTATAAAAACAATTTCTGATTCAGGTGATGTAAAACAATATTGTTAATAATTATATCTTTAAAAGCAACAATGATCAAAATTAGAGTTGTTTCTCATTTTTTTAAAATTAATGGAGAACCTGTGATTACAAGTGCTTCTAATCTATTCTGTTTTTATAGGAATAGTAAAATGGTATGAATACATTTTTACACTGTCATTACACTGCATGTTGGATTCTCTCAGTAGTGGTTGGCACTTTTGGGAAATGATTTGGCATAATTTAATATGAAAAGATCTTGTAATCCATTTGTTCGGTGCTGTTGAGTTGGCTCCGACTCACAGTGAATACAATTCACTGTATATATATATTAGTCATGATGTATATTAGCAGCTGTTGAATACTATGTGGAGAAGAGCAATACCAAATGAAACTAATAGAAAAATTGATAAATAGAACTGAGTGCAGACTAGAATTACATACACGAAATTTGGTAAATGCTAACTGAAACATACCAATCAGTAAGGAGAAGATTATGTGATCAATGTTGTTGAGACAACTGAACTAGCTGTTTAGGATGAAAAAATAGTTTGGTTTCTTACCTCACTTTCTGTACCAGATGGATGAAAGACACAAATGTAAAAGAGAATGAAATTATCAAAATCATAAAATACTGAGTGAGTTTAAAAAGTAATCTTAGCCATCCATCCATCATCAGTGATAATCACAGACTATCAGATGCCATAGAAAAATGCTTACAATATGATATATGGAAAGAAAGTATCAAAATTGTATGTTATAATTATAATACACTAAATTTTAGCTATCTTAAGGCATTAATACAGATAAAGGCTGAAAGGGAAAATGTAAAAATCATGTTCTGGTCATATTACAGGTAATAGTTTTACATCTTTAAAATCCTTCTTTTTTTTATGATCAATTTCATTAAGCTTGGTACTTATAGGGGAGTGATAAGGACTGTTTTTGGTGCTAATAAATTAAGTTAAAAAGTGATATTGGCATGGGAAGGCTTTTAAAGCATAACTTAAAACCCAGAGTCATGAGGAAAACATTTGAAAGTTAAAAATTTTTATGTCAACCACCAATTATGTATGGTTTAAAAGGAAAAATACGACAAATGAAGTTTAAGGAAAAAAAAAAGATAAACTGGAAAAATATTCTGAGTAACAGGGCTGATTTATCTTACGAATCATTAAGAAAAATGGATAAAGGAAATGAACCTCCACTTTTTATAGAAAAAGAAATAAAAGTGACTAATAAACTGGAAAAAAATATTTAATCTTATTTAAGAAACATAAAACAGTAGTGAGATAGAAGTTTCTATTTGATAGCAAAGATTAAGAAGTTTAATAATGTTTATGAGGGAGTGGGGGAGTTGTCCCTTATGTTTACAGGGTTGATTGATATGTAGTAGTACTGTAACTTTTTTTGAGAGTTTGATAAAATGTATCAATTTTATGTACTTTGAACTACATAATCTATTTCAATTGAATTTTCCCTTCAGAAATATCCTGATATTTAAATATATGTGTGCAAAGAAATTGAATGCTTAACTTTATTTTTAAAGTAAATTTCAGAACAATATGTTTAATATGATTTCATTTCTGTAAAATGTACGTGTAGATTTATATATGCCTAGTAAAATCTTACAGTGACATGTAAGTATAGTGGTTATCTCTGACAGGTGATACTGTGTGAATATCTTGGTATTGTATGAATGAATTTGTTTTTAACTATGAATTTAGATTAGTTTTACCACCTAAAAAGACTGGCTTAAAATGTTAAAAAGTCGTCTTTTGTGACAATTAAGTTCCTGCCTTAGGGTGTTTATATTGGTGTGTTCTCTATTTGAATTACCCTTTGCTTATTTTACTCCTTCATATCTTTCAAGATCTCTACTCACATGTCATCTCCTCAGAGGGGTCTTTCCTGACCACCTTATGTACATTGCTTTTCACACTCTGTCTCCCTAACAAATGTAAGCTATCTTGGAGGATACGATGAAAACCCAAGTGTCTAAAATAGCATGGGCTATAAAATAACTCATTTATGAAGTGAATGAGTATAATATTTTATATTAGGATTGATAAAACATTCTAAGATATACCCAAGTGTTCATAGTTAGATTTAATTTAATTTTGAAAAGGATTTAAAGTATAAGGCCTGTTTATACTAGTACTCAGCTTTAAATGACCTAGATCTAATTTTGATATGTCTTAGGTGTTATGTACTATGCCTTGTTGATTCAGGTTTTTGAGCATCAAAGTAAGGCACATACTAGATAGTTAAGGAATCAGGTTTGCTGTGGATCTCAGCTCCATCATTTAATGTGTCTTATAATCATGGGTAAGTCACTTCTCTTAACTTCAATTTCCTCACTTGTAAATGAAAGTAATATGTGTAGCGTAGAAGGGTTAAATGAGATAAGGTATATGAAACTCCTGGCATAGTGCCTAGAAGTCATTTAAAGATTAGGTCAATTTTTCCTTTCTCATCTCCAAAGTCTTATCTAATAAATGCAGATGCCATTCTAGACTTAAAATTGTGCACTTATAGAATAGATTAGAACAGCTTTTTATTCAAAATTATGTTCCATGAAAATAATTTATTTCTACTTTGTTGCAGCAATATTGTTTTAAAGAATATAATCGTGTGTGTTGTAACAGAAGGAAAAATGGAAGTATTTCAGGAACTTCGAAAGCCATCAGCACGTTTGGAGTGTGACCACTGCAGTTTCAGGGGCACAGATTATGAAAATGTACAGCTCCACATGGGTACTATCCATCCAGAATTTTGTGATGAAATGGATGCTGGTGGGTTAGGTAAAATGATATTTTACCAGAAAAGTGCAAAGCTATTTCACTGTCATAAGTGCTTCTTCACCAGCAAGGTATATGCTAATGTATATCATCATATCACATCCAAACATGCAGCCCCAGAGAAATGGAATGATAAACCAAAAAATCAGTTGAACAAAGAAATAGATCCTGTGAAAAGCCCTCCTCCCCCTGATCAGCAGAAAATACTCTCTAATTCAGCAGAACTGAAGTCTACACCTGTCTTTTCTATAGAAACTCAGAAAGTTAACCCAGAATCACCAAAACCTACTGTTACTCCCCTGGAGCCTCAGAAACCTTGCCCTGTTATTTCTTCTGAACCACAGACACCTTGTCTTACATCTCCCGAGCCTCCAAAACCTGCCTCTGTTTCTTCTCCTGAACTTCCAGACCCAGTTCCTGTTGTGTCTGAATCTCAGAAACCTGTGGCTGTTCCTTCTCCAGAACCACAGAAGCATACTCCTGTATCTACTGAACCAATAAAGACTACTCTTATTAACACCAAACCCCAGAAACACTCTCATTTTCCAGAAACATTGGGGCCACCTTCAGCCTCATCTCCAGAGTCACCGGTTCTAGCAACTTCCCCTGAACCTTGGGGACCATCCCCAGCTGCGTCTCCAGAATCTCGGAAATCAGCCCAGACTGTCTCCCCTGAGCCCAGGAAACCATCCCCATCTGAGTCTCCTGAATCTTGGAAGTCATTCCCTGCTGTCACCTCAGAGCCTAGGAGACCAGCCCCAGCTGTGTCACCAGGTTCTTGGAAGGCAGGGCCACCTGGGTCTCCTAGACCTTGGAAATCTAGTCCTTCAGCTTCATCAGGACCTTGGAAGCCAGCTAAACCTGCTCCATCTGTGTCTCCTGGGCCTTGGAAACCAATTCCTTCTGTATCACCTGGACCTTGGAAACCAAATCCTTCTGTGTCCCCTTCATCCTGGAAGTCTTCATCAGTGTCACCTAGTTCCTGGAAATCTCCCCCTGCATCTCCTGAATCATGGAAATCTGGCCCACCAGAACTCCGAAAGACAACTCCTACCTTATCACCTGAACATTGGAAGGCAGTTCCCCCAGTGTCCTCTGAGCTCCGTAAAACAGGACCTCCCTTGTCTCCTGAGATTCGCAAACCAGGCCAACCAGTATCCCCAGAGATCCGCAGCCCAGCGGGATCTCCAGAACTCAGAAAACCCTCAGGTTCACCAGAGCTTTGGAAGATTTCTCCTGATCAACGGAAAACTTCTCCTGCCTCTCTTGATTTTCCTGAGACCCAGAAAAGTTCCCGTGGTGGTTCTCCTGATCTCTGGAAGTCTTCCTTTTTTATTGAGCCTCAGAAACCTCCTGTCTTCCCTGAAACTCGGAAAGCAGGTCCTTCTGGGCCATCTGAATCCTCTAAAGCGACCTCGGAGATCTGGAAGCCTGTCCTCTCTATGGATACCGAGTCTAGAAAGCCTACCCTTTTTTCTGAGCCCACCAAAACCGCTCCACCTGCTGCTGCTGAACCACGAAAACGTGCTCTTTTTCCAGAGTCCAGGAAGCATGCCCTTTACCCTGAACTTCCTAAATCTGCTGTGTTCTCAGAATCTCAGAAGGCAGTTGAGCTTAGTGATGAACTGCAAATAGATGCAATAGATGATGAAAAGTGTGGTATCTTGGTTCAGGAAGAACTTCTAGCTACACCCAAGAAACTTTTAGAGGACACTTTATTTCCTTGCTCAAAGAAGCTCAAGAAAGACAACCAAGAGAACTCGGATGCTGAACTTAGTAGTAGTGAATATAACAAGACAGATTTGGATGCAATAGATATTAAGGGCCAGGAATCGAGCAGTGATCAAGAACAAGTTGATGTGGAATCTATTGATTTTAGTAAAGAGAACAAAATAGATATGACTAGTCCAGAGCAGTCCAAAAACGTATTACAATTTACTGAAGAAAAAGAGGCTTTTATCTCTGAAGAGGAGATAGCAAAATATATGAAGCGTGGAAAAGGAAAATATTACTGTAAAATTTGTTGCTGTCGTGCTATGAAAAAAGGTGCTGTTTTGCATCATTTGGTTAATAAGCATAATGTTCACAGCCCTTACAAATGCACAATTTGTGGAAAGGCTTTTCTTCTGGAATCACTCCTTAAAAATCATGTTGCTGCCCATGGGCAAAGTTTACTTAAATGTCCGCGTTGTAATTTTGAATCAAATTTCCCAAGAGGCTTTAAGAAACATTTAACTCACTGTCAAAGCCGGCATAATGAAGAGGCAAATAAAAAGCTAATGGAAGCTGTTGACCCACCCCTGGAGGAGCAGCAGATTTAATTTTTAAACATGATGTGCATATATGCTCTACAAAGATGTTTGTTAAAACCATTCTTTGAACGTATAGCTAAGTTAGCCTAGTTGGATCAGTTAGATGTTGAATATGTATGGTTGTGCTGTGTTAAATTGTCTTGGTGTAGTGTTAACAGAGAACAAGTATTTGATATTTTTTTATGGTCTGTTTATGTGGCTGTCTTGCAAATCAATAAATTTTTACTGTATATTACAGATGGATAAAAATTTCTCAATTCTTTTAAGTATATTTGAATAATACAAAGAGGCAGGCATTCCATTTAACAATCATACGCAAGGTGTGCTCAGTTTAAAACATTTAGTGTATCTTTTTGTGAAACTAATTTTGGATGATAGAAATTACTAGTGTGAATATTTACGAATTAGGCTTGTAAAGTTAATTTGAGAAAAACTTTGTTCCCTTTCCTTAAATGTATTTTAAAATCCTAAAAATAATTTTGATTAGAGTTTCTATTTGATCATTTAAAACTTGTTTATTTATAAATTTTGAGCAGTTCTAGATGTTTAATGTTACTAGCTTTATGCCATGGAAAACTGGAGTCTCAGGGTTGCTGACTTTCCACTAAAAGGAAAATTGAGTGTTAAAAATAGTTGCAGCCTTCTTTTAGAGGACAGTACTTAGAAAAATAGAGTGACTACAGGAAACAAAAAGATTAGTAAGATAATGAGTTTCCCTTGTCCTTAGTTGTAAAATAGACTTTCCATTGGAGTCTTCCATTTTGTATTTCATCCCAAGATCTCGCCTGGTCATTGCCAGATGTGTTAGAGCATGTGTTTCCTGCTCTTGGCCTTAGAGTCACCTTTTGGGGCTTACGATTGGGAGAATGGATAGGAACTGAAAGTCTTCCAGATTCATAATGAAATTTTATAAATACACATTTCTGTTTGGAAGTATATCACTTTTCTGTTTTTACAGTTCTTTACTTGTCCCTGCCCGTGGATAATTCTAAAATATTTTGTCAGATGTGTACCTATCAAATTAAAAGCAAAGGCTTCATGTCAGCAAAGTCTGTGTTTTCTTTTAAGTAATTTTCATTGTACGATATCTAGCTTCCGTTATTTACTGTTTCCAACTGTTTTCAGTATATTTTCGTACCTTGGAACAATATTTTCTAAGCTGTGTTTTCTTTTGAGGGGTCATGTAAATGAAGGAAGCACTGTATACTAGGCACCTCCTTGTGCCTAGTATGCATTAGCATGTTAAAGGGTTTGTGAAGTTGAGTTTGTGATTCTCAACCCTGGCTGTGTTTAAAAGACTGAAGTATTTGGTGAGTGGCATAAGGGATTACAGTGTATAGCCGTGACTGGAATAACTGGGTTTAATTAAGCTTTTCCCAGACCTTTTTTTAAACAAAGAACACTACCCCAACCCACCTCACCTCCCATGACATCCCTTTTAACATGCCAGTTTGAAAGACAGTATTTTGATAATACTGGGTAAGGTCTTAGAAATTTCAGGTCTGACTCTACTTTGGTGGTGAATGTAGTCAGGGCTGGAAGGCACTAGAGCCTGCTGATAATAATTGTTGCCAGTTTACACAGGCACCTTGAGAATGAGCTTCCAGTTCTGATGTTTTCTTCTAGGCAATGATACCAACAAGTAGAATGGGTAAGTTAACTTGGATATACAGTTGTCTTCCCCCTCCACACACACAAGTAAGTGACTTGACTGAAATGATGGATGGAGAAACAGGCAGCACCTAGAAAACCCTGTGGAAGCCTGTATTCTCAATGCAATGTTGTTAACACAATTCTTTTCCTTAGGACTTCACCCTCTTAGTGAAGCCTATCACAGAATCCTTCCTGGTGCCTTTGCTTAGTTAGCATGGCAGCAACTAGATCACAAGACTCACCTTCTGGCTTTTTGCTGCATATAGATAATGCCCTAAAATGGGTACTCCTCTGCCAGAGTAAGTGATGATACGCATGTATAGTTTTGGCCTTTCTTAAGACCTTAACTTTGGCTAAAGCACTATTCTCTCCCATCTGACTTGTGGTTTCCTACTTTCTTGCCCTTTTGTCTCTTGAGATCAGAGTGAACAACAATACAATTTCTTTAGAATTTAATGTAACCATACCCTCCTATATGCTAGCATCCCTTTCAATCATTTTGATTTACTTAGTGAATTTTTGTATTCCAAAGATTTTACATAGTAGAATAAAATTATTGCAGTCTACCCACATTCATGGACTTGATATCATTTATGTTTTGGATGAGCAGTAATTTTCATTACTTTTATTGTAAGTACATGAGTTATGAATGGCTGTGGTAGATTTTGCTTTCATTTTTAATAATGGTGTTGATTCCATACATTTGTCTTGGATGAAGATAGTGAAGGATGCTTACTAAATCTACAAGCATCACAGAATTGACAAGGTTAACCTTTTAGGATTGAAATACACCCCAGATCTAAAAAGCCCTGAAATTGCTCCCTTTCTCAAATAAGCAATTTCTGTTCATAAGTATTTGTGATCCCATTCTATGTTAGTTTCTTATTGCTGCTATAACAAAACCAATGGTTTAAACATTTATTAAAGTCTGATACTTCACTTGCTTGAGGGGGGCATTGTTCTTACCTGTCACTGATCTTGAGAAAGCTCTCAGGATCTATGAGACATTTTAATTTTTATAAATGTGCAACTAAGAGTTTAATTTATGAAAAATCAAGATAGTAACTGGTAGTTACAGATTGTTCAGTTTTTAAAGATGACCTTTTATTTGTTGGATTCTTAAATATGAAATGTTTTGAAAAGCTAAGAAAAAATCCTGTTTTTTTCAGTGTTTATAAGTTGCTTTGAAGAATGTAGAATAAAATGTGTAAGGTAATAAAACTTTTAGGGAGACCACTGATTTGCATCTAGGCTTAAGAAAGCTCAGCCCTAAGTTTTAAGCAAAGTCATGGTTTGGAAAGAAAAGTGACTACCATTGTGGGCTAAACATTGTTTTAAGTGCTTTACATAAACCAATCTTCACATTAACCCTATTAGTTTGACACGGTGGTGTCCATTTCACAGTTTGAAGTTACACAGAAAATGCAAATTTGGTCAGTTTGATTCCAAAGTAAATGGCTTATAACTACCATGCTATTTAAAAGCTAATTGTTACTAGGTACTGAAGAAGTGAGAGCCAGGACAGGAACAGATACATGCACACCCATCACAGCACTATTTGCAATAACAAAAAAAGGAAACAGTCTAGGTGCCCTTCAACAGAAGAATGGATAAGCAAACTACAGTACGTACACACAATGCCTTAGGCACTAGGCCACCAGAGCTCCCAATGGAATACTGTGCAACACTAAAGAATAATGTAAAATCTACAAAACACTGCATAGTGTAGATGAACTTGGAAGGCATTATGCAGAATGAGATAAGTCAATCACAGAAGGACAAATACTGTGTTCATTATTGTCAAAAGGAAAAGTTTATGTATGGAAGGAAACTGTTGGTTATGGGGTGGGGGAGTGAAGGGGAAGGAAAACTGCTGGATAGGTAGAGACAAGTATTGATTTGGCTGAAGGGAAGGGCAATGTAGCAAATGTGAGTGATCAACACAGTGGCATTGAGGAAGAGCAAAACACATACGTGAGAGGTACAGACAACAAAGATGAACCCTTTTATGTGTACAGTACTGTGTTGTCAGTGGTGGCAGGTGATCTATGAGTGGATAGGGATAGATGGGTAGACAGATGGAGCGATTAGGTAAGTCTTGGCAGGGGGTATTGTGCCCATGACCATGTGTAGGGTTAGCAGACAGTGTTTCTATATGCATATTTGTATGTGCTGTAAAAATGTCCCAAGTGTATAGTTGTGCTGACAAGGGGCAGGGTTGTGGTGGCTTCTTGGTTATAGCCAGCTACCCAGAGGGAGCAAGTAGTTGGACCTGTGGGCTCGGGACCATGGTTCAGGGGACATCAGACTCAGTTGGCATAACATACTACACAAAAACATTGTTCTACATTCTATTTTGGTGAGTAGTGACTGGGATCTTAATAGCTTGCAAACAGCCATCTAGATGGAATGATGGGTCTCTCTTCGTCCAGAGTAAAGAAGAAGACTACCACAGACACATGGAAACAGTCCAAGGGACTGGTAGACCATGTTCTCTTCAGCCTGTGTGACCACGAGAGCAGATGAACTAGATGGTGCCCAGGTACCACTGTCAGCCACTTGGAGGGGAGTAGATACAGGAGATCCTGGATGGAGGGATGGAGTGGGAAGACAAGGGAACAAAACCCAATCCAAAAAAAGACCAGGTTTGCTGAGATCATCTGATGGGGCCTGGTAAGACCCCTGAGATCTGGCTGCAGCCACACTTCAGGTCTGAAATTGAACTCAACTCCTGTGGCTTCCAGCCAAACCATAGGCATGTGGAGTGACCATTTACATGAGATAGCTTGGAGCAATTGATCAAGAGAACAGAAGGGCAGCGTTTGCACAGAGACAGCTTGGGTAGTGGGAGTGCATGGGAGGGAAGGACACAGGGAAGAGGTCATGCTATAGGGGGGAAGTGGGAAGAGGGCTGTTAACGTGGGGAATTGCAATCAATGCCATAAGAAAGTGTATGAACTGCTATATGGAAAATGAATTTGCTCTGTAAACTTTGACCCAAATCATAAAAATTAAGAACTAGTTACTGTAGTGGTTGAGAGTGGCTTAGGGAGGCTAAAAATTCCCCCTTCCCCAGGAATTTCAACAACCCTATCATAAACACTTTTCACTCTTGGTGCAGTGGTTAAGTGTGTGGGTGCTAATCAAAAGGTTGGCAGTTTTGAACCCACCAGCTACTCTTCAGGAGAAATACGTGGCAGGCTAGTTCTGTAAAGATTACAGCCTTGAAACCCTATTGGTAATCCTCTGGGGTTGCTATGAGATCAGTTCAAGGGCAATGGGTTCTTCACTCTTACCGAAGTCCCTTTCTTTGCCAGTGAGGAATAATACAGTTTTCCCTCTCTGTAGAGATTTTC